CGTAAAGCCATAAACCAGTCCTTCCCTGGGCTTCAAAGACATTCCAGCTAGCCGTAAAACAAGACAACACATTTAAACCCCACTTTTCCATATAATTTTATATCTGGAGATGGGAAATAATTCCATAAAAAACAAGCATATATTTTGGATAGCTCAATTTAATGTGATGTCTGATATCTTACACCCCCTAGTTGAGTCTACAGAGAGCAGAAAGCCATATAGTTCTAGCTGAAATAGTAAATTATAGCATGTTTAATATCTAGAAGTCAGCAGATTATTCTGCACATTAATCTACCCTTGGATAGAATGTTACATGTACCTAGGGAAGATTATTGCCCTGGTATCAATTTGGGAGGGATTTTGGTTCTAGCCTGAGTCCCCCGCCTACGACACCCTCCCCAAATGAGGCGATTGGTTCTCTGCATCAAGGAGACACCCTGCTGAGTTCCTAGAAAAAGGCTGTTATGCTTGTAGCAGAGAGTTGAGTTGAAGTTGAAGAAATCTCCCTTTTAACATCGAAACCAACTTGGGAGATAACACCCCTTTTGCTCTGAAACTTGATCTGCTTAACCCAGGACTTTTGGCAAGTACTCTACCTCTCTAAAACTTCTTTCTGTTATCTCTTTGCTGTGCTATTGCTCTCTGTATATTTTATATATATATTATATATATATATATATATATATTGGTTACATCTTTTTCTGTAAATATTTTTATTGCACCCTTTTAACCTTTTGGTAATAAATCTTACTTTCTGAAAGTGTTGAACTGTTTCTAAAGCTCTTTAATGCAAACTAAGAATCCCTGCCTCTGAAGAGCGCTACTGTGTGTTTTAAAACGTCTGCATACATCTGTCTGCGGTGACATTGTGTATACAAATGATTATTCAAACATCATAGTGTTATTGCTGATATTGCCGAGTTTCCTCTTTCTCTGTACAAAAAGGAGGTGGTGGCAGTGTGAAGGGTTAATTGCGTAATTAACCTGACCCAGTAACAATCGCTCCCAGGCTGCAGGTACACAGATTGTGGTCTATTAGCTGGAAAATCTTTGTGCAGGTTGCAGCTGGGCGTGGCATTGTTACGCACGTGACAGCGCGGTTTTAGACTGGCTAATCCTTTGGTCACGAGTTTGGTGAGAAGGGCTGGGGTCTGACACCGCGATTGTCACACCTAGCATCCCAGGTACCCCCCTACCCCCCCACACACACACTCTAATTCCATACTATACTGTCTCTTCTTGCAGTACTGTTGCTGTCTTTCCTTTTAATCCAAATCCAATCACTGCTTTTTTCTGCTGCATTTGATTAGGATTTTATTGCTTGTTAGAGGGAGTCACCCCTTGCTCCCATCTTCAGGAGACTGGTTGTAGCTGCAGCAATGAAAACCCTGCATCCGACTTCTACATGGAAAAATTTTGTTCTTTCAGCCATTCTGGGCAGCTATAGTTTTTTTCTCTCTTAAAGGATAAGTTCATTTATTCAAAAAATCATAATAAATGCACTTTTTTTGCAGGTAAAAAAATTATTATTTAGTGAACCTTTTGGATGTCCAGAGTTCTCACTACAGATAGACATGCAGTGTGAATTGGACAGAGCTGTTCCTTTATGATGTGCCTTTTATTTATTGATCATTTGTTAGTATAATACTTATTATTTACATTTATTAAACATTTTTAAGGTAATGCACTAGGCCGGTGCGCCCTCTGTTTGTTTTTCTCTATTCAGTACTTTGGACTACCCCAGTCCTTTGAGGGCAGCAAGGCGTGCATATCCCAAGAATTTCCATATGTGGTCTTAATGACATTGAGTCCATCCCCAAGCGCAGGAGTAACTGGGGGTTTTCCACTTCTACACAGCTGTATGTCCAAATGTAACATCCATGGGTGAGGCTTACAGGGAATCCCTGTAGAATACCAAAGGCTTTGTGTACATCGAGCGTTGAGATATCTTTTTTTGCACAAACTGTATGTAATCAAATGCTTCAATTAAAAAAAAACAAAAACAACTTTTGAACGTAAAAAAGTTTTATGATCTCATCAGTTTCTTATCTCAATGATACTCATATTTTTAATTAGACCAGTATTCTTCTTTAACTTCTTGCCGAGCCGCGATATAGCCAGGAATGACGGCTTCACCGGGCCGGCCAGTTTGAGTGGACGTCATATCGGGTGCGTCCTCCCAGCAAACGTGCATGCTATGCGCCCCAGGGGGCGCACAAGTTGCGATCTCCGTGATCGCTGTGTCGCTACGGACACAGCTGATCACGTGATGTGGTGAAAGGCCGATCCCACCGGCCTTTTACGTGATCAGCGGTGTCCAATGACACGGATCACAGGGAAAGCCGCACCGATTTCTAAAGTAATGCATGCACTACTTTTCAGTGCAATTTGCATAGACATCTGTGTCAGATGTCTTGCAAATCGCACCTCAAATCGGCAAGTCACCCAACTTTGAAATCGGGCGACTTCACTGATCATCAGGGCACTGATGATCAATGCCCTGATGATCGGTGCCCAGCAGTGAAAGCTGGTTTCCACCAGCAGTGCTACTGCACTGTGCATGGTAGCCAATCCGTTCCCAGCAGTTGCCCCCACCTGTAACCCCAGCAGTGCCCCGACCTGTGCCACTATGCAGTGCCTACCTGTGACCTGGGAAGTGGGCCCGCATACATGTGCCCAGCAGTGCCACCCACCTGTGCCCACCCACCAGTGCCACCCACCTGTGCCCACCAGTGCCACGCACCTGTGCCCACCCACCAAGCTGCCCACCAGTGCCACCCACCAGTGCAGCCCAGCAGTGCTGCCAGTTCAGTGCCACCAGATCAGTGACCAGGGACTTGTGCCAGTCAGTGCCCAGTCAGTGCCCAGAAGTGATGCCAGTCAGTGCCGTCTATCAGTACCCTCATCAGTTGGCCTATCAGTGCTGCATCAATCAGTGCCGCTATCCGTGACCCCTAATTAGTGCTGTCTATCAGTGCCGCCTATCCTGCTACCTCATTAGTAAGAGAGATACAGTGCCCTTTAGTCGAACTCCTGACATAGAGAGAGAAAAAAAAAGTTCAGTGTAAAAAAAATCAGTGAAAAAAAAAAAATACCTGTTTGAAAAATTTTATAAAAGAAAAAAATAGATCAACTTTTTTTTCTTTTTCAAATTTTTTGCAGGGTTTTTTTCAAGGTCATTTATAGCGCAGGGTCAAAGTAAAGCGGTCAAAGTGGCGATTTAAATACCAAAAATAAAGCTCTATTTGTGATAAAAAAATGATCAATTTCATATGGGTACAGTGTGTTGCATGACCGCGCAATTGTCAATCAAAGTGCGGCAGCGCTGAAAGCTGAAAATTGGCCTGGTAAGGAAGGGGCTATAAGTACGGGTAGGCAAAGTGGTTAAGAGCCAGATAACAGGAATGACACATGTGGGGGAGATTTACTAACGACCCCGGTCACATGGGTGCGATTTTGGCATGCAATGTGGCAGGCTATGCGATTTGCAAGAAATGCACAGTTGCACCCTAAAAAATTGATTGTCCGCTATTAGAGCAGTCATTTTGGTGCAGTTTCCGACTTGGTAAGCCGCACCGATTTAAGTAAAAAAATGCAGGAGCAGAGCAATCCATGACCATTTACCACCAAATGAAAGCCCAATTTGTCCTGCAAAAAAAACAAGTATCATCCAACTTTGAAATCGTACTTCACTGTAATTGCATGATTTCAAAATGTACGGCTTTGATGTGACCGGGGTGTAAAGCTGGTTTACTCAGAATCTACTGCAGCTGTGCATGGTAGCCAATCAGCTTTTAACCTCAGTTTGTTCAATTAAGCTTTAGCAATAAAACCTGGAAGTTGATTGGTTTCTATGCAGTAGTCCACGAGATTCTGAGTGAACCAGCTTTAGTAAATAAACCCCTGTATGCTGTGATTTTCTGAAAGTGTATCTATAGCTAAAACTTTTTTTTCTCTTGTTTTGGACAAAGTGGGGTGCATTAAAGTATAACTAAAGGCAAAATGTATTTTAAAATTTTTGGATAGACTTACGGAGAGTTATAACTCCTGCTAGGACTTTATTGTTGTCTGTGCCTCCCTTAGGGAAATTCACACTCTTTTTGTCCTATTTACTGTATCACCAAGAGTGAAAGTGAAAGAAAATATCAGATTTTGGGTTGTCATCAGAACAATAATAGAGGGGAAATCTTCCAATGGGCCACTAGTTCTGGAGACCCTGATGGCCACCAAGGATTCCCTCTTTTTGGTGGGATTTCCTCTCACTTCTTAATTTGGCTATGGGACAAAAAGTGAAGGGAAAGCAATGGGACACATAAATTGCCATGGATTATAACTAGTGTGCACTGAAATAAAAATTCTTAAAAAAAATGAAAATTCAGGATGCATTTGGCCGAAAACCAAAACCAAAATGGACATTTTTTACATTATTTTAATATAAATATTATTTTATATATATATATATATATATATATATATCGTATTTTTCGCTCCATAAGACGCACTTTTTTCCCCCCAAAAAAGGGGGGAAAATGTCAGTGCGTCTTATGGAGCGAATATGGAGCAGCCGGTCCAGTATTTCCACCGCCGCCGTGTCAGAATACAGGGCCGGCCGCTCAGCCCTGCAGCGGGACCTTACCTGTTCCTCTATGCAGTGCCACGCTGTCTTCCCGGCTTCTGTAGTGTGGGCGCTCGGCTTGACAGCCGGGTGCCCAGTGCGTACGCGCGGGAAGCGGTGCGCTTTGTGAATGGTAAGGCGGCACCTGGGACACATGACAGGTCCCAGAAGCCGCCGGACCAATCACAAAGCACAGCACTTCTCGCTCATGCGCACTGGGCACTCGGCTGTCAAGCCGAGCGCCCACACTACAGAAGCCGGGAAGACAGCGCGGCGATGGATAGAGGAACAGGTAAGGTCCCACTGCAGAGTGGACACTAACCAAAGAACAACTCCGCGAAAGAAAGAGCGGGTACCTGTCAAATTCAGGTACCCGCTCCCCCCCTCCCCAAAGGTCAGCAGTCATCTCCTGTACTGTCCGCAGTCTCTGGTCATCTCCTCTGCTGTCCGCAGTCTCTGGTCATCTCTTGTACTATGTCCACAGTCTCTGGTAATCTCCTGTGCTGTCCGCAGTCTCTGGTCATCTCTTGTACTGTGTCTGCAGTCTCTGGTCATCTCCTGTACTATGTCCGCAGTCTCTGGTCATCTCCTGTAATGTGTCCGCAGTCTCTGGTCATCTCCTGTACTGTGTCCGCAGTCTCTGGTCATCTCCTAAACTATGTCTGCAGTTTCTGGTCATCTCCTGTTCTATGTCTGCAGTCCATTGGTTTAGAATATTTTTTTTCCTGTTTTCTGCCTCTGTTCTAAAACCTAGGTGTGTCTTATGGTCAGCGCCGTCTTATGGAGCGAAAAATACGGTATATACAGTTGTGTTCAATATAATAGCAGTGTGTTGAAAACAGTGAATAAAGCTCAAAATCCTTCTAATAGCTTTTATTTCCATACACACAAATGCATTGGGAACACTACACATTCTATTCCAAATCAAAACATGGAGAAAAATATATCAAATTTGTGTTGTTCCTCTAAAAAAATTGAAGAAAAGTGAATATTAGACTGTTCAAAAAAATAGCAGTGTTTGTATTCTTCTTTACAATCTCAAACATTCACTATATAAACTGAAAAATGTTTGAAGATTTTGCTTTCCTTTGAATCACTTCATGAATATTTAGTTGTATAAGCACTGTTTCTGAGAACTGCTGTATATCTGTGTTGCATGGAGTCAACCAACTTCTGGCACCTGTAAACAGGTATTCCAGCCCAGGATGATTGGACTACATTCCACAGTTCTCTATTTCTTGGTTTTGCCTCAGAAACTGCATTTTTGATGTCACCTCACAAGTTTTCTATTGGATTAAGATCTGGGGATTGGGCTGGCCACTCCATAACATCAATCTTGTTGGTCTGGAACCAAGATGTTGCACGTTTACTGGTGTGTTTGGGGTCGTTGTCTTGTTGGAACACCCATTTCAAGGGCATTTCCTCTTCAGCATAAGGCAGCATGACCTCTTCAAGTATTCTGATGTATTCAAACTGATCCATGATCCCTGGTATGCGATAAATAGGCCCAACACTGTAGTATGAGAAACATCCCCATATCATGATGCTTGCGCCACCATGCTTCACTGTCTTCACAGTGTACTGTGGCTTGAATTCAGTGTTTGGGGGTCGTCTGACAAACTGTCTCCGGCCATTAGACCCTTAAAGAACAATCTTACTTTCATCAGTCCACAAAATGTTGCGCCATTTCTCTTTAGGCCAGTCAATGTGCTCTTTGGCAAATTGTAACCTCTTCAGCAAATGTCTTTTTTTCAACATTGGGACTTTGCAGGGGCTTCTTGCAGATAGCTTGGCTTCACATAGGTGTCTTCTAATTGTAACAGTACTCACAGGTAACTTTAGACCTTCTTTGATCTTCCTGGAGCTGATTGTTGGCTGAGTCCTTGACATTTTGGTTATTTTTCTATCCATTCGAATGGTAGTTTTTCACTTTCTTCCACGTCTATCAGGTTTTGGTCGCCATTTTAAAGCATTTGCGATCATTTTAGCTGAGCAGCCTATCATTTTCTGCACTTCTTTATATGTTTTCCCCTCTCCAATCAACTTTTTAACCAAGGTATGCTGTTCTTCTGAACAATGTCTGGAATGACCCATTTTCCTCAGAATTTCAGAGAGAAATGCACTGTAACCAGCATGTACAACATTTGCTGCCTTCCTTCCTTAAATAAGGGCAATAATTGCCACCTGTTTTTCAAAGAATGAATGACCTCACTAATAGAACTCCACACTGCTATTATTTTGAACATGCCCCTTTCAATTAGTGATTCAATTACACAGAATCAGCAGCATGTCATGACTGTTGTGTCTGTTGGATTTCTATTACTCTACTACACCTGCTAGTAAATTATTTGCCATGTAGAAATATCATTTCTACCAAAAACAGTGATTGATCAGGTTAGTGATGTCTGACTGCTATTATTTTGAACACAACTGTGTGTATATATATATATATATATATATATATATATATAACATTTAAATTGATATTATGAATTTAAATTAATATGTATTTATTTTCAGCTAATAGGCTGCTTTCACACTGAGCAGTTTTTGCAGCGTTTTTGCGTAAAAAGAAAAGACAGCTCAAGAAAAATTCATCCCTTTAACGTGTTCCGACCTATGGTAGAAGGACAGGTGGGCGGGCCTCTTGTTCCTCTGGGAGGACGTCATATGAAAGCATCACAGCCCATCACAAATGTAAATAAACAGCTGTAACTTGCTGTTACCGCTTCTCCTCCTCACACATGTTTCCTGTGTGAGGAGAGAAGAGGAAGAGAAGGGGAATAGTGAGTTACCGCATTCAGTACTGTGCACCACACTGCCCTGATTGCCCTATGAACACTTCACAGTAGCCCATCAGAGCTGTGTGTACCTGTCACAGCAGCCCATCAGATCTGTGTACCTATCACAGCTGCCCATCAGAGTGTACCTGTCACAGCCCATTGGCGTACCTGTCGCCAGCCCATCAGCATACCTATCGCCAGTCCAAAAGCGTACTTGTCGTGCAGCCTTTCAGTGTACCAGTCAGTACAGCCCATTACCTGTCAGCACAGCCCATCACGTACCTAACAGCACAGCCCATCAACTTACCTGTCACCAGCCCATCAGCGTACCTGTCGCCAGCCCATCAGTGTACCTGTTGTGCAGCCGGTCAGTGTACCTGCAAGTGTACCTGTCAGTATAGCCCTTCACTTTTCAGCACAAGCCCATCACTGTCAAGGTCCTACCTTTCCTCAGACCTTGTGCTGCTCCATGTGCTGGCATCCATCTTAGGTGTCTGCAAAGCATTGTGGGATCCTTTATGCTTTCAGCCCTCTGCGGCTCCTCCCCCAGGAGGTGGCGGCTTATCACTATAAGTCTGCTGTTTGTGGCTGTCCATTGCATTCGTGTCCTGTCTGTTGCACAACAGCAAACTCCTGTTTAGCTACTCATTGCTTTCCTGGATACCAACTCGGCTTTGGCTAAGACTCCTCCTGGCTTCTGACCCCGGCTCTGGTGACCATTCTTCCTGGCTCCTGATCCTGGCTCCGACGATTCTCTGGCGATCCCGCTCAGGCGACGATTCTTCCTGGCTCTTGACCCCGGCTTTGGCTACGATTTCCACTGTTGGACTTGCATAGACTCTTGTCTTATTTTTATATTAATAAACCTATCTTTAATTGCACCTCTTTGTGTGTCTGGCTCCTCGCTCCTGACACTACACGAATGCCATGAATCCTGACGGTACAGGTACGCCCCACGCTCCCTATGTTGGTTGCCAGACTTGATCAGCAGGATCTCTTGTTGGCTCAGTTTGCTCAGACATTGCAGACGCTGCTTGCACGCACAGCGCACCTTGCTCCTGGTGCTATTAGGCAGGTTCTCACTCCTGTGGTCACTCTCGTTGTTGCTCCAGGTTGTTGCGCCTACCTCCGCATCTGCTGCCGCACCTGCGGTGCCCAGAGGTATGACTGGTTCAGCCCCCCTTGCACAGCGCTTTGGGGGTGAACCGAGTCAGTTTGGGGTTTCCTTAACCAAGTGGGCATATATTTTGAATTGATACCCAACGCTTTTCCTACTGAGGTCAAAGGTGGGCTTCCTAATCTCGCTGCTCTCAGACAAGGCCTTGGCCTGGGCAAATCCCTTATGGGAGAACAAATAACCCTGTGATTCACGAGTTTGCCGGTTTTGTTGCCTCCTTCCGTACGGTATTTGATGTGCCTGCTCACTCCGCCTCTGCTGCTAAGCTGCTCATGTCCATGCATCAGGGTTCACAGAAAAACCATTGCCGAGTACGCCATAGAATTTCGTACCCTGATGGCAGAGGTGGGTTGGAACAATGAGGCTCTGGTGGCTGCTTTCTCTCATGGTCTCTCAGATGCGTTGAAGAACGAGATTGCAGCCAAAGAACTGCCTGTGGAGCTCGAAGCACTCATTTCCTTCCTAATCCTGATTGACACCAGGCTCAGGGAGAGGCCTTCACTTAAGGAGCGTCTGCGGAGGCCTCCTAACCGATTGGCGCCTACGTTTTCTGTCCCACCCCTTCCTCCCTCTCCTCCCACGCCTCCTGGGGATGGCTTGTCTGGCAGTGAGCCCATGCAGCTGGGGTTTGCTCGCGTTTCCGAGGGGGAGCGGGCCTCTCAGCGTCGGGAGGGTCGCTGCCTGTACTGTGGTCTCGGTGGGCATTTTCGGCAGTCCTGTCCGGTCCGTCCGGGAAGACGCTCGCACCTGAGATCCTGTCAGGGGCAGATCTTGGGTGGAGTTTGCTCGTCCCTGGTTTCCTGCAAAGATAAACCGCTAATTACCGTTCTCCTCTTTTGGGCGGAAGGCTCGGTGACGGCCCAGGCGTTGGTAGACTCTGGTGCTGGCGGGTTGTTTATGGACAGTTCGTTCGTTTGCTGCCCAGTACTCCATTCCTCTGCAGGCTCGAGTTACTCCATTGGTCCTTGAGGCGATAGATGGCAGGCCCCTGCAACCGCCGCAGGTTACCCACGAGACCGTGCCGGTGGAAGTAGCTGTTGGGGCTGTTCACAAGGAGTTGGCCTGTTTCCAGGTAATTTCTTCCCCGCACTACTCCATGGATTTGGGATATCCCTGGCTTCAGAAGCACAATCCGACATTTGATTGGCGGTCGGCCGAGATTCTCTCGTGGTCTCCCACAGTGTGGGGCGGTTGCATCCGTGGACCTGTTAAGGTGTTGTGTGCCTCCTCAGACTCTGTGTTGCCCACTGACTATGGGGAGTACCTGGACATGTGTTCGACAAGGTGCGCGCCGGTGCTCTGCCTCTTCATTGTCCATACGATTGTGCCATAACCTTACAACCCGGTGCCACTACTCCGCGTGGCAGGGTGTATCCTCTTTCGTTTGCGGAGAATCAGGCCATGGAGGAGTACGTTGCGGATGTGCTTTCCCTGGGCACATTCACAAGTCTACTTCTCCAGCAGGAGCTGGCTTTTTCTTCGTGAAAAAGAAGGGCGGTGAATTGAGGCCTTGCATTGATTTTAGGGGTCTCAATCGAATCACGATTAAGAATGCTTACCCAATTCCGTTGATAACCGAGTTGTTCGACTGCCTCAAGGGAGCAACGGTCTTTACTAAACTCGACCTTAGGGCTGCGTACAACCTCGTACGGATCGAAGGAGGGCGACAAGTGGAAGACTGCGTTCAACACCAGAACTGGCCACTATGAATCCCTGGTTATGCCCTTCGGG